TTGTGTATTGTATTAGGAGGTGGCCGAATAACTTACACCAAAATCGTTCGGTGTTCACATAAGACATGTCGGATAATTGTAATTAATTAATACCTTATATCAAAATACAATCGCACTCAGGGTTGGCAATGGACTATGATACGTTCTGAAAAAAATTTCAATGGCATTGTCCATTGGGTCAATGGGCATAATCCATTGATAGTTACTAAGCCATATTTTTGGTTCATTGCCAACCCTGAGTCGCACTCCCATACAATCGCCATAAAAGTGTTATATAGTAGAATATTTAATTGGTTCAAAAAAATATAGGTGCTTTTATGGGAGTGTGATTGTACATTAAATAGTATTGGTAATTATTTTGTGGGATTCATAGCATGGTCATATATGTTTCTCTCATGGGAATAATTTAGATATCGATATGTACATATGTTTATCAAAAGTATAAACCACATACTAGATACTAAAAAGGGTAAAATAATCTATTTATTTAATAATCTATTTATCGCGTTTTTTTTTTTATAAATTTAACGTTACACCTGATCGAACAATTTTATTGGTTATACACGCGTGCGGGTGGACCTTTATGAAAATTATTTTTGGGAACGATGTTCAGGGAACAATATTCGCAGCTTTTGATAAAAGCTATTACATAACCGGCAAAAATGAGTTGCTGCTCCTCTTAATCTCTTAATTAGCTGTTTGGTAAATGTTAGCTTTGAAAGTATCTAATCGAGAGCTGACGATTCTGCATGATAAACAATATAATATTGTCCGGAACGAAACGTGAGAACTATGTACCAATTTCTACGCATGATGATACATGTACTCTGGGTTCTGCAAGCGCCAGTAAGGGCACTATTGAAACATAGCGATTGTACCAGACACTATGTCCGTCAACCGTAACGCAAATATTGGTTAGTCTGTTCTGTAAATGCAGACTTGAGACAACGTCCTATCGTTATATAAAAAGTTACCTCAAACCGGTTTATAAAATAAAATGCAATTACTGAATTAACGTTAAACCGTAACCAGTGACGTAATAAGTCACCCCTCTTATGAGATGATTGGTTACAAAAAAAAATAGCTTTTAAATATTTGCATAATTTGCTACGTGCTACGTACTACGTACAATACAATACTGTAATGGTAATAGATTAACGAACATCATTATGTACACCGGGATTTAACGGTTCCTGTTTCTTTATAAAGTGTATGATTACTAATTTGTTCAAGCAATTTCTGATAATATTATCTTTCTTAGATTAGCGATTGCGTCAAAAATTATCTGATAATCATTTACCTACCAGAACTGATAGATCCGCCCAATCGGTCCGAATCGACGTTGACGCAAGCGTTAATCTTGAGCAATAGATTTTTATTATTTTTTTACTTGGACATTTAATAATAATTATGGTGAAAATTTTATTTTCATACTCTTGTACCACTTTAAAAATATCAATATAATAAAACATACATATTTATAAACATTTTTGTTCATACGTTTTTAAGGTTACGGATTATTTTACGTTCGAATAATAATACGTAATACATAACGATAATCAAAATATACATATTAATGTTAACGTTAAATCAATTTATAGTGTATATAATATAGATGTATGTATATATATATAGCAGTTAATCAATTTGCAGTATATATGTATATATACATCAATAATATAGATATATATAGTTCAAAGCATCACAAAGCCACAATTTTCATCAGTCCATATCAATACTTATTCGGTCTTGTCCTTAAATCCATGTGAAATTTAAGTTCAAAATAAAATAGGCACGGGAATACGTCAAAAAATAGTACGGTTTTACTCTTTATTGTTATTGGCTATCATCATGGAACGAATATATATTAAAATATAGTTTAATTTGTACCACTGAAGATAATTTTAATATTTAATTTTCAGCGTATAACGATAAATTCAAATTGATATGTACATATCATATATATCAATTTATATATACATAAATATTTCATTGTTGCAAAAATGGAATTATAATCGAAAAATGCTGATCATAAATGGTTTATGTAATGTTACTGATATGTATTTATGTAACTATTCTTAATTTTTATTATATTTTTCTTTGCCCTTTTTTGGTTTTTTTTTTTTGGTTTTTTTTTTTTTTTTACCACTAATCATAGATTGGCTTGAACAAGTGTTACTAGCACCGTGATGTCATCAATTTTACTATAAATGTTAAATACATTTACAAAAAAATTTGGTTAGGTCAAGAATTTACCAATATTTTGAATCTGAACGATTGCATATTGTTGTTTTTGATGCATAGATGTTTCGTTTCAACACTATACAATTATGGCTTCTTTGAACAAAATCTATGTTCGTTCGTGCGCCACAAACACCTATCATAAAAATAAAACAAACAATCCATCAAAAAATAAATGTATAATAAATCTAACTTACCCTCCAATACGACTTTCTCCACTTTTCTTTGCACTCTGAGAGAAAGGACTTACTCTCTTAGGATCCATGGAGCAACGTCTTGCTGTATTTGTCAATGTTCTTGACAATCTTCTAACATGAGATCTAAGTTCTTCAATATCATTGCCCCACATTTTCCTATCACGGCCAATAACATCTCGGAGTTCCTTGTTTACAATAGAAACTGCTTCTTCGGTAAATACATTATCAAAGAAGCCATCGGTGGCTAACAGAATAACATCCCCATCTTGAAGTTGATGACTAGCCTGATAAGCATCGCTAGGTCTATCTTTGAAATAGAGTTTTTGATTTGGAAAATCTTCGGGAACGATAGTTAATTGATATGGGCAGTTAAAGAAATGTTGTTGTGACGGTGACTCATATAAAAGTTGTCCGTTACGAATGAGAAGATACGCTGAATCGCCTAATGTGGCTGCATTCAAAATACCGGAGGTTTTTGATAATGAAAGAATACAAGCCGTAGAACTACCTATTAAATAAAATAAAAAATATATTAATTGATGTTAATAAAAAAATTTATAATTGATTGATTTCAAAAATAATTCACTAACCGGCTTTAACCTTTCCACTTTTTATCAACTTGTCAAATGCACTACTTAATATTTGCTTTGCGTCTAAAATATCAGTGCTTCCATTGGGTGCATCAAATAGTGCGAGTTGATATGAACTAAGTTCTTTTGCAATGCTTGCGGCATTGTCCATTAATGCCCATGAAAATGTAGCTGGATCTATACCCATCTATTATTATTATTATTATTGTTATTATTATAAATTATTATTAAAATTTTTTGTTTAATCTAATCTTCAAAGTGCTCAATATACTAAAATAACATATCTATTAGTTTTGATATAGTTACATACTTGAGTCCAGCCACCGACACCATCCGCAACTCCTAAAGCTACTCCTTCGTTTGTTCCTACGTAGAAGAAAGCATCTTCTCCTGCATCAACTTTTCCAACCTTCATGCGTTCTTTCAACCAAGGGTTATTAGTAGTTATAGGAACTGAACTTCGTCTTCTTTTTGGATGCCATGACGCAGATATCAAGTAAGTGAACCCTTTGGTTGTGGTTAGTGGTAAGCCAGTAACCCGTAGAGGTGTACTGTAAAAACTTTTGAGTATAAGCTGTTGTTGAATTGCCGCTCGAAGAGATTGCGAGGCACTAGTAAGGAGGCGAGAGGATAACGCAGGAAAAACTCCTGGGCGATAAAAAGGTGATATCGAAGACGACATTATATGATTCAAAGAAGCCAGCTTTCCTTTATTTTATTTTTTTTTGTCGTACTTTATCAAATTTAAAGGATAGCGAAAATATTTAAAATATTAAATAATAAAAAAGTTTTTATTTAATTTTTGTGTTATTATCCCCAAAACCTCAACAAACTTCCCCTACTCTTTGTTGAGTGTCCTTCTGTAAAAACAGTCGAAGATTGAAAATTTGATGATGAAAATTCAGCCTCCAAACATGAGTAATGAGGTCTGTATATATTTGAGATCGGTTTGTGCAGCCTAAAACTTCCGATTGCTGATTACTGGTACCAAGTACTGCCCGTACGTCGCACGTACGTATAAACATACATAACATAGCAGATAGTTGGTACCTACGTACTAAGTCATTTGAGTCATTTGATCCGTTCTGTTAACGTTAATATTTAACATATCGTTATTACATACCGTTGCCGCAGATTCGACTTAATTCTTCCTTAGACCTATACCTCTTTTTTATTTTGTATCAATAATATTTCTTCGCCACCACATTGAAACATTCGTACTAATCCTTAAAACTACAATGTCTGCCCCTGGTAATAGACACAACTCTCAAGCTCCTGGCAAATTGTTCCAATTTAAGCTCGTTTTATTAGGTATACAACCTATTCAAGTATACAATTTTGACACCAACATTGCGATCTTACAGAATAGTTTTAATTCCTATCTTATCATGCTGTGTGGTGCCTTGGACTATTTTCACGTTACCTCCTGTTTTTTTATTTATCATTTATTCGTACTAATACTCTCTTGATTTTGCTTTTCTTTTGACCGGTTTCTTTCCGTAATATTACAGGTGAATCAGCAGTTGGTAAATCAAGGTTAGTATTTTTTAAATATCAGAGCAAAAACCCTTTACTATTATCGTATATTCAATCTCTTTGATACCGACTGCTTTAGACTCAAACAAAGCTGGAAATTTCAAGCAATTATAACCTTTAATATTATGGGTTTTTTTCTTGATATCCTATTAGTACCCACCTATTTTATTCCGATTTTTATCATTATTATCTATAAATACTTTTATCTAACCACTCTTTCTAAAATTGATAATATATTCTAGCTTAGTATTGCGTTTTGTCAAGGACCAATTTGATGACTACAGAGAAAGTACTATCGGAGGTAAAGACTTTTATTATTCTCTTTTCGTTGACACTGGAAAAAATAATTAATCTATTATT